TGGGGGTCTTTAAGAGGAGGCTGGATGAACACCTTGCTGGGGTTGTTTGACCCCAGTACTCTTTCCTGCCATGGCAGGGGGTCAGACTTGATGATCTGCTCAGGTCCCTTCAGACCCTACCAACTATGAAACTAAGCCTGACTTGGCCCATTGCCTTGGGCCGTGTCTGATCCAAGTGTGAGGACCCCAGCTGGGGCATGGGGTCTGCTGGGAGGTGGCACAATATTTTCCTGCTGCAGGCCCCTTCTCCCTTGCGCCACTAGGGTGCCAGGCACTAAGCCCAGTCCTTCCCCCAACCCTGCTCTTACTATCGGGTCCCAGGGCAAGTCCCTGACCCGTCTCCCTGGAGCAGGAGGGAGAGAAGGGAAGGCTTGCCCCTTTCCTAGCATCCAGGGGTGACTCCTCCAGCTGCCTGCCCCTTGGGAGCTGAATGCTGGTCTCCTCTGCCCTTTCAAGCTCTCGCCTTTGCCCTGCAGAGTCTGGACTCCGCAGTTGTGGACAGCAGCATTGGTTCCAGCTGGGAAGGGTACAAAGCAGATGATTTGGTAAGTAACAAGCATCCTGTCTTCAGTCAGGCTGTATCTGCTTCTGCGTCCTACCAGAGAATGCTCTCTGCTGGAGGGTTAGATGGGGGGAGGGAAGATATAGGCTTCCCACCATATTGTGGGTCCTCCTACCTGATTCCTTCCCTATGTGTCCCTATAGTTCCCCTGCTGGGAAACTTGGGACTGGGTGGGGGAGCTCTCTGGCACAGCTGTCTCCTGCTCAGGTCCCCATAGTGCCTTCTACAGGCGGGCTGGTATTTAAGCTGTTCCTGCCTGTGCCATGTCCTCCCCCTGATTCTCCCTTTTGGCCCCTCTGTCTTTTTCCTGGGGAGTCTTTTTCCTAGGGAGTTGTTTCTGTTTCTTTTCCTCCCCCCCTGACTAGCTCCTGCTGCCTTCCAGGTGCTTGCAGATGTGTGGTCTTCATCCCCTGGCAGCATCCCATCACATCACATGCTGGAGGTGAGCACCACCCTTTGCCTTCTTTCCTGCATCCAGAAGGACTGCAGGTTGGAGCACTGTGGGCCCCTCTGCACCTCTAGGGCAGCAGGGGGGCACCCAGGGTCCAAGCCAAAGTGCTTGCTGGGTTTTGGGTAGGGCTGACGTTGGATGGCTTCTAAGCATGGCCTGCAGGAGCTGCTCCTCTAGTGGGAAGGAACTTGATGCAGGTCTGCTGGCATAGAGGGAAAATAGGATCTCAAGGTATTAGTGAGGTATTGAGAGGTTCTCCAAGAGCAGGCTAGTGCACAAAGGCTCATGGGAGAGCAACTGCCTACCCTGTGCAGCTGGACTGATGCTCCAGTGGGGCTTGGGATCTTTGTAGGGCTGACACTTCTCCAGCTGCATAGCTCCTTAGGGGATCGGGAGAGCCAGGCTGTCCCAGGTGCAGAACGTGGCCCCTCCCACGGCCCCCAGCCAGAGGAAGTGGCTGTAGCAAGAGCTCTGTCAGAGCAGGTCCTCTTGTCCCTGGCCTGTGCCCCCTCCAGCCCAAGGGCTGGGCATGTGTGGGAGGAGGCCCTTTCAGTTGCTTTCCAAGCAGAAGATGGTTAGCCAGCCGCAAAGCTTGGAGTTGTGGCCTAGCATGTTGGTGGTGGCTACTGGCGTTCAGGCTCTGTCGCTCTTAGCCAATGCTCCCAGCTGCTCTTAACTAATGCTTCCACCCAGGATTATGGGTGGCCCGTAAGACGAGTTTGCTTGCTGACCCAAACAGATCAGTGGTGATGGAACCTAGTCCCTAGCAGGGGGGATGCCAAGGATTGAGACCCTCTCCCTCCCTTGGATCCCCCACGTGCCTGGGACATAGTGCAATGGCTCTTTCATAGTGTTCCCCTGCTCCCCATAGGACAAAGCCATCCTTCAAGTGCTGGAAAGGGTCCCCCCCACATCTCACATGAGCCTGGACTTCCTTGGCTCCCCAGTGCAGAGAGGGTACCCAGGCTCCCCAGGACTCAAGCGTCCAAACTTCAGGATGATGTCCCCTAAATCCTTCCCTCAGCGATTCATGCGGCAGGTAAGGGACTCCTGTTGTCTGTCCTATTGTGACCATCTGCCCCTCTTCTGTCCCATGTGAAACCAAGAGCAAGCTATGCCTTGAGACTCTTCTCTCTGGAGTTTCTCTGTACCTTGCTGAGGTAGCCTGCATGCTGTGCTGCCCTCTTACAGCAGCCAGACTAATGTAAGATCCCTGTGCCTCCTATTCCATTTCATTTATACCTACGAATGCTGATATAGCAAGGCACACTGCTGGGCAGGCCTTGGTTGCCTGGTACCTTGGGCCCAACCTATTAGCTTGCCACAGCTCTGCTTCCAGTAACACTCCCTGTCTCCTGCTGTGCAGCAGTCTCCCATGATGCCTCGCTCCCTGTACTCCCCTCGGCCCTTCACGCCACCTCGCAGAGCTTCTCCTCTCTTCACTCCCAGTCAGGTAAGGCACCGGGTGGTGGCGGCGGTGGCTGCTGCTGCTTCTCTCTTGGCCACAGCCTCCTGTGGGTGCCAATACACAAGCACTAGACAGGGTTGCAGCTAACCAACCCATCACCTGCTGGGGTTGTATGGGAGGCTTTGGCCAAAGCACTAAACCTGACCAGTCTGGCTGTGAGTCCTGCTCTGTACCAGGGAAGAGCATCTCCTGAGTACCTTCTTAATTGGGAGAGCTTTCTGCACTGAGTGGCAGGAGCAGCGCTTGTAACATCTGTGGGAGTTTTCCTGAAGAGGTCTTGTTGAGGGGATCAGCTGGTGATTATTACTGGACTGTTCTCCTGCAGGAGGGAGTTCCATAGGTAGGTTGCATTGTAACTCCCATGGTCCAGGTCAAGCACCTTTTAATCCCAAAAACCATTCCTTGTTGGCTTCTGGGGTGGCATGTACACAGAGCCCTTGCCTGGCCATTATTTTGGGCTTCCTCTTCCCAAACAACATGGCTGTCCTCCTTCCCATGGCATCCCAAGCCCCTCAGATGCATCATCATTTTGGCTGATGGAGAGGCCAGCTTTGGTGATTCCTGACCTAGGCTGGGGGACAGGGGTGGGCAGGGGCTGGGCCAGCTCCTAAGACCTGTGAATAGGTCACTTGCTGACTCCATATGCATGAGGACTGCGTCAGGTTCTTTCTCCAGTCACCATCCTGGCTGGATCTGCTGCAAAATGCCAAAGTCCCAGAAGTGGTCTCTGGCTGCCTGTACAGGTTCCTCTCTGCCCTGTTGATCCCATCCTACTCTCTGCAGTCTCCTCAGTGAGATGGGTGGTCCTGCCAACTAATCAAGAGGCAGTGGGTGCAGGAGCACAGTGGCTCAAACATAACTATTCTGGAGGGCAGTGGACTCCTTTGGGAGAAGAGGCATTCAAGAAGTGTTCTTGCTTTAGGTCCTTAACGCTTCTTTCCTCCCCTTCCAGAGCTCAGAGTACACATCTCCAATGCCCTTCAGGCCCATGTCACCCAATATCAGGACACCAACGCAGCCCTTGGGTATGCGCTTCGGCCCCATGTCACCTTCTCTTGACCCCTCGCTCTTCTTTAGTCCGTCAGCTGGCCTCCAAGGGAAGTTCAGGTATGGAGTTGGCAGGTGCAGCATCCAAGTCTTGCAGTTCCTCAGTGTGTTGGAAGGGAGGGCCAGGGGGGAAAGCAGTCTCCCTCCCCTCAACTGTGGCAGGTGAAGACAGCTGGGGAGAGACTATTCTGAAATGAAAGCTGAACCCCTAGGTCCCTGATGGATGGAGGGCTAAGGGAGGCATTGTGTGGCTGGTGAACCCCACAGATGTTAGTTTAGCCTGCTGGTGGAGCTGCCTTTCTGTGAAAGTCAGTGGCCAGCTGTGCTTTTTGCGTGGTGGCCAACCACTGCCAGGCCCTCCTTGTCACTGGATCCCACCCTCCCCTGGATTCCTTTGCAGTGTGCCCAGCCACATGACTCAGCTGCACCCCCAGCATCAGCGGATCCTGAACCAACGGCAGCAGCGAGGGCAGGTGCAGAGGTAAAGTTGTTGGTAGACCTGGGGCGCTCACTCCCTGCAGAGCCTCCTTCTATGGGTGCCTCCCACCACCACATCCTCACATGGCTGGAAAGGTCTGGGAGGGAAGGGTGAAGGGCAGCTGGGCAGAAGGAGAGGTCTGGCCTGCCTTTTCCCGTGCAAATGAGGTCAAGCAAGGGGGGAGGGGTGAAGACCCAGAGTTTCAGGGGAAACCAGTTAACTGGGTGGGACACACCCTGATGGTGGGGTCAGTTCTGGTATGGACGGTCTTGTCCTGAATCCTGCACCTGCCTTCTCTGGCTCAGCTTGAGAAGGGAGGATCTAGGACTGGGGAAGGTGGGCGCAGGCATAATGCAGAGAAATGGGACTGTCCTCTCCCAAAATAGACAAGGGCTGGAGGGAAGGAGCAATCCACATGATTACTCAAACTTCTGGGTCCTGTGGAAGGATCTCCCTCCCATCTATTTACTCAGTGCTGTTCCCTCTCCCTATGCCTCCCCTGCCTCGGTTCCCCTTGGCCATTTTCCCCAGGTAGCCCACCTGGCTGGTCCATGAACATGGCATAGCAAGAGAGGGGCTGGGTGCTGTGGGTTTGTATCTGCAGGGAATAACACTGGGGTATGGTTTCTTGCCTGAAGCATCTCCCCCAAGAAGCCCTGGTCCCCAAAAGCAGACCCCTATGCTGGGCTCATGACTCTTAAAGAGAAGGACTGGGTCATCAAGGTGCAGATGATGCAGCTGCAGAGTGAGAATCCCCACTTGGATGACTACTATTACCAGGTGAGCAGAAGGATCCAATGCTTTCTCCCCTTCAAAAGGGAGACAGCTGGATGCCCTTCCCCAACTGGGTGAGGCTTGGGTTTTCACCCACACCTCTCCTGGCTCAGCTGAGTGTTTCTCCCATCTGCCCCTGTGGTTAAAGGGGAGATCCTCCCAGCAGGAGGAGGCTGAAGCCACCAAGTGGCTGCCCGCCTCAGCCAGTGTGGCTCTGTCCCCCAGGCCTTCATATCCAACACTCAGCCCAGGTATTGGGACTGAGAGCAGGGCTGGCATCTCAGTGCATCTGTTCTGTCCTGACCAGGCCTATAGCAGGTGTACTTAGGAGGACACGTGGCAGAGGGGTAAGATCCCAGCTGAGAGCTAGACCATGTACACTAGCCCTAAGAGCCATATGGGCTTGTGTGCCCAGACCAGTAATTCTGCCCTCTTCCTCCCCAGCAGGAGGGTAGAGCTCCTGTCATTCACCATGGGGCTGCTCCCACTCTGCCCTCTCTCACCGCCGCTCTGCCATCCTGTGCTTGCAGGCATATTACCACCGGTTGGAGCGAAAGCAGGCAGAGGAGGAGCTTTTTGGGGGCCGGAGCAAGCAGGAGCCTCCCAAGCTAGTCACGCCTTATATCCAGAAGATGGAGACCTACGACTCTGGTAAGGGGCTTGAGTGATGAGATGCAACATGAGCAAGCTGTGGGGCTACAGGGGGGACCAGGCACACTACATCTCTGTCTCTTCCAGTGGTGCGCATAGCAGGATCACTGGGCCAGGTTGCCATGTCCACATGCTACAGCCCCCGCAGGGCCATTGATGCTGTGCACCATGCCCTACTGGAAGAGGTATGTAGGGGACTGCCCACAGAGCCCTGGGCACATAACAGACGAGCAGTGCCTGAGTTCACCCTGAGTCTTAGTATGGCCTTAGCTGCTGGCCAGTTTACTTAAAGCAGGAGTTGCCAACCTGCTGCACAGGTGCTACAAGTGGCATGGGCAGCCTCTGTCATGTGGCAGACTGGGTAGGGAATAGGCAGCCCAGAGGGCAGGGAGCACAAAGCAGAGCAGGTGAGGGAAAAGGATCAGGGTGGGTATGAGGTTAATTTTATGGAACACCTGCAAAAAAAAAAAAAAAAAAA